ATTAAGAAAACTATTTAAAGAAGTTTTAGATTTTGATTCGAATCAAACATATGAACACTCTCTAATAATGAAGGTCACCCAGGTGCATTCGTCATGGATCATGCAAACAATAAAGCATCTTCAATGTTCTCTATCTGTAGGAGGTACTTTATCATATAAACTTATATTATTGATATGGATATTAAACTTCCTTCTACAAATATTCATATATTAGGCTCAAATTTTTTTGAATTAAATTGATTCAAATTAGATATTTGTATAGTTAAAGTTTAATTATCACATATATCATTTCATTCTATTTCATATAACATTATAATTAAATACAAATTTTAAAAATATAAATATTGATAAATTGTACTATACTAAAATAAATGAAAAATTACAAAATTTTACAAAATTTTAAATTGAAAATAAAAAATAATTATTATCGGTAATACCCAATATTTAGAATTATTTAAACCTAATATTTAATTCAAGTGACAAAATATTTCTGAAATTTTTCTATAACTTAGTGGCTCAACTTATGATCCATCATCATCTCCTCCTTCGGTTTACATCTCTAATATGTTAAAAAAAAGGTTTAAATCTTATTACACTTAAACTTCATATTAATTTTTAAGGATTCTTAGATTTAATTAATTATTGTATATTAAACATTATCAACTGCATTTAATTATTTAATATTTGAAATTAAACTCCTATTTTTTTAAAAAATTATTTTTCATTAATGAAAAATATATATGTTTATGCATAAAAAGTAATCAAATTTAGTTTTACTATCAAGTATAGCATATTTAAGGCATGTACCTTTTAAAAGGAATTTTTAGCTTTTTTCCATAGCTCGAATTTGTGAAGAATAAAGTTAAAAAAAGAGTAGATAAAAATATAGGAAATTAACAAAAATATTTACAAAAATAGAACCTCCTATTAGTAATATATAACCTACTATATATGTATATATTCATATATATACATATATATAGAGAGAGGGAGAGAGAGGGAAGGAGAGAGAGATCTTATTATTGGAATTTAAAAAATATTTTTGTTCCATTATTTCAAAATTTTTATGTGCAAATGTAAAAAATAAAAAAATAAAAATTTCAATTATTAATCTCTCCTTGTAACTTGAACATACAAATGTTGATTAAAAAATTTTAAAAAAACCAGCAAAATAGATTCTCAATAGACAGTTTTTTTGCACTCATTTGCTGGATTCTCTTTTGTATTTAATTAAATAATAGAAAAAATTAATAATTGAAAAAGAAAAAAAAAAAAAAAAAAAGACAAGCTGTGAACCACTTGAGAAACTAATTCTATAGGTCAACTCGCGCTGCGCAGGGATCACCATACTTGCCACCTCAATTAGGAGGTCATTGTTACCACCCAATCCAACGGCGGTATGAATGCAAATTCTAGCTGGATCATCAGTGTAGCATGCGGATCGTAATCCGTGCCTCTTAACATCACTTAGATCCACACCGTTAACTGCCAAACCAATCAACGGTCGATCATCCCGCTATATTATTTTGTAGTTTCGAATTTCCCGCCCTTCTCGATTCTCTCATCTTTAGCCTAGGCTGATTCTACAAACCCATCTTGAAGACATCTAAACAGCACCACCGTAGTTTCACCCTTTCTCTCAAATTTCTAAAAACCTGTACCTTGCTTCTTCAAGTGTAAAAGATGGCGAGGACGAAGCAGGCGGCGGAAAAGTAGCCTGGCAGGAAGGCGCCGAGGAAGTTACTGGCGGCGAAGGCAACGACTAAGTCAGCCTCGGCAACGGGAGGGGTGAAGAAGCCGCACAGATTCAGGCCAAGGACGGTGGCGCTGAGAGAGATCAGGAAGTACCAGAAAAGCACGGAGCTATTGATCCGGAAGCTACCATTCTAGACGCTGGTGAGGGAGATCACTCAGGATTTCAAGACTGATCTTCTCTTTCACAGCTCCCCTGTCGCTGCCCTTCAGGAGGCAGGCGAGGCCTACCTTGTTGGTCTATTTGAGGACACGAACATTCACGCCCAGATGTCACTATAATGCTCAAGGGCATCCAGCTTGCTCACAGAATCCGTGGTGAGAGGGCTTAAGGGTTGACGACATAGATGCATAAGAAAAGCTTACATAATTCTCGGTCCAATAGCATGTCAACAATCTTTCCAATGAAATCTGTAATTCGCCCCTCATTTTTTATATGAATTGATTTCGATGAATCGACGATGATAATTGCATTGCATTTGAGAAATAGTTTAATCTGGGCAATTATGCACGTATATGGGTAAATTGCTTTCTGGCCTAGATTTCTTTAGTTCTTAAAGCATTAGAGCTTGATTTTGTTGTTTTGAAGTTGGTTAAGGATTTTGCAAAGCCATTTTTGATTCATTAAGATTTAAATTTTGATTATGTGTGAGACAATTTCTCTAATTTGTGATAGCATTTGTCACATTTAATAGCTTAATTTGGACAATTATGCAGGTATATGGATAATTTGCTTTCTGGCCTAGATTGCTTGAGTTTTTGAAGCATTAGCTAACAAATCAGTGAACCCGTATGCACGGTCACGAATTAGTGACCGCGAATTTGCTGTCACTGCTTTTTTGACCGCCCTCCGGCTGTCACAACGGGTCGTTACTAATAATTATTTTTTTTAGTATAAAAAGTGAGTGACTTGACTTAGTGGTCATTAGCCAGTGATTCTGTACTAGGTGATTATTAAAAAATATTAAAAATAAAGTATTTTATGACTGACTTAGTCTCACTACAAAGATGGCTAGTGGTTTATTCAGTGATTTCTTTACTTTGTATTTAGTGATTATAGTATTTTTGTAAAAATTTTTATATTATAAAAAAGTTTGGTGTAATTTAATTTGTGTTTAGTGATTATAGTATTTTTGTAAAAATTTTTATATTATAAAAAAGCTTGGTATAATTTAAAAAAAATATAGGGCAGTTTTATACTTTAACCCTTATTATTTCATAGTATTTAACGATATTTTTAAAAACTTTGTTTATTTGGACAATAAAAAAATAGATGATTGAAAATATTGAAGATTAACAATGAATAATTTAAACAATTACAAGTGATAGTCCCATGCAAGTGGATGTGGGACTACTTGCGCTGATGGTAACATATTTGACAGTATAAGATCAGGAAAGAGAATCTAAAAAATGTGAAAACTAACAAAGTAAATCCATTCGTAACTAATGGAGTCCAGCTCCAATGTGGGCTTTATAGTACTCCAATTTGGGGAAGTTTCTTCATTTTTAGCTCCAGGATTGTACTTTTAGAGTAAAAAATTGATTGACTTTTTTTTCAACAAACTAAACATTCTATACAAAGATATATAATGTTTCAAAAATTAACTAAGTCAAATGGTTCCCAGGACTCGTTTGTGCATTTATCTAATTTATACATATATACGTCCTTTTATTATAAATGATTCTGTTAATAAAAATTAAATTTAAAAAAATGAGTTCAAAAAAAGAAAGTTAAAAGAAATGAATAAATATTGTTATTTAATTATGTATGATAGTACAAATATATTATATATTTTGTAATATTTAATTTATTTTTTAAAATTGAGCTGAGAAAGAATTCAAATAAGAGGGGTTGGAAAATAACTTAAAATTTGTAAAATCAATTATCTTAAATTCAAATGTTATGAAATCTTACTAATTTTGAAGAGATTTCAACATATTAAGTAAAATTTTATTAAATTCCATAGAATCGGGATCTTATTTTTTATTTCTTTATCCAAGCAGTCAAAATGGTATTCTTAAGTCCAAATTCTACAAAATCTTATTGAATCTATTAAATTCCATAGAATCGGAATCTTATTTTTTATTTCTTTATCCAAGCAGTCAAAATAGTATTCTCAAGTACAAATTCCACCAAATCTTATTGAATCCTACTTTACTAGACACTTCTCATTTGAAAACATTTTCTTTTTCTTGGTAATGAATAACAACTAACTACATTACCAAGTTTCAAAAGACTCAGTAATGTAAGAAGTTTTAAACTCTCTCTCACACACACACATACTCAACTGATATGGGATTGGCATAACCACAAGTTTTTTTGGTAATGAAGGACAACCAATCACATTATCAAGTCTTAAAAGACTCAGTAATATAAGAGGTTTTGAACTCACACACACACACACACACACACACCTATCCAATCGATGTGGGATAGGCACAATCACAAGTTTTTTTGGATAGGTGTGTGTGTGTGAGTTCAAAACCTCTTATATTATTGAGCTTTTTGAAGATTGTTAATGTGATTGGTTGTCCTTTATTACCAAAAAATAATTTTATTTTCATATGAACAAATCAATGTCATTGATTTGGGCCTCTTTATTCAATATTTTCTTTACAAATAAGGGTCAATATGAAAACAATTTATAGTATATGTGCCAAAATAAACAATGTGGCAAAGGATGGGGCTAGAAATGACTTACCCAATTAAATATATTACAAACAATTACAAAAACTTAAGGACTGTAACATAAAAATTACAAACTTTGATCTGGTCTATCCTACAGTACATTATTCTAATCAAATTGATGGACTTTTTTAGTTTATTTAAAATTATTGGAAGGAAAATGGAAAATCTATTACTTGTTTTGTACTATCTCCTCCTCAATCAATGATGTCCTGGAAGATTGTTTTACTTGTGGATTATCTCCCTTTACTCGGGTCGGATAGACAATAGTTGAGCTACAACTTGCATAGTTGGTCAAAAGTGAGGATTTGCACGAAAGCATCCAACGGTCATTTTCACGATGCGCATTACTGCCTCCTCAATGCAATTCACCAGAGAGTTCATTGTCATTTAGCCGAGTCCCATCCCATCAAAGAAGTCAAATTGACCAACTCTGGCGGAATAGAACCAGAAAGCTTATTGGAATAAAGTGACAAATTTTCTAATTTGGTTGATTCACGCAAAGACGAAGGAATGGAACCAGTGAGTTGGTTTTGTCTCAATTCCAAATAAACGATCAATTTCAAGTTTTTAACTCTTTTATAATTGTTCCAGAAAGGTAATTGTCATGAAGATAGAGTCTAAACAAGTTTTTCAAATTGCCCAAAGAAGCAGGAATGGAACCAGTGAGTTGGTTTTGGCTCAAATCTAAAATAGTGATGGATTCCAAGTTTTCAAACTCTTTTGGAATTGTTCCAGAAAGGTGATTCCCAGAAAGATAGAGCCTAGACAAGTTTCTCAAGTTACCCAAAGAAGCAGGAATAGAACCAATGAGTTGGTTTTGGCTCAAATCTAAAGTAGTGATGGATTTCAAGTTTTCAAACTCTTTTGGAATTGTTCCAGAAAGGTGATTCTTAGAAAGATAGAGCTCAGACAAGTTTCTCAAGTTACCCAAAGAAGCAGAAATGGAACCAGTGAGTTGGTTTTGACTCAAATCTAAAATACTGATGGATTCCAAGTTTTCAAACTCTTTTGAAATTGTTCCAGAAAGATGATTCTCAGAAAAATAGAGCCTAGACAAGTTTCTCATGTTACCTAAAGAAGCAGGAATGGAACCAGTGAGTTGATTTTGGCTCAAATCTAAAATAGTGATGGATTGCAAGTTTTCAAACTCTTTTGGAATTGTTCTAGAAAGGCGATTCTTAGAAAGATAGAGTCTAGACAAGTTTTTCAAGTTACCCAAAGAAGCAGGAATGGAACCAGTGAGTTGGTTTTGGCTCAAATCTAAAATAGTGATGGATTCCAAGTTTTCAAACTCTTTTGGAATTGTTCCAGAAAGGTGATTATCAGAAATATAGAGCCTAGACAAGTTTCTCAAGTTACCCAAAGAAGTAGGAATGGAACCAGTGAGTGGTTTTGGCTCAAATCTAAAATAGTGATGGATTCCAAGTTTTCAAACCCTTTTGGAATTGTTCCAGAAAGGTGATTCTCAGAAAGATAGAGCCCAAACAAGTTTCTTAAGTTATCCAAAGAAGCAGGAATGGAACTAGTGAGTTGGTTTTGGCTCATATCTAAAATAGTGATGGACTCCAAGTTTTCAAACTCTTTTGGAATTGTTCCAGAAAGGTGATTCTCAAAAAGATGGAGCCTAGACAAGTTTCTCAAGTTACCCAAAGAAGCAGGAATGGAACCAGTGAGTTGGTTTTGGCTCAAATCTAAAATAGTGATGGATTCCAAGTTTTCAAACTCTTTTGGAATTGTTCCAGAAAGGTGATTATTAGAAAGATAGAGCCTAGACAAGTTTCTCAAGTAACCCAAAGAAGCAGGAATGGAACCAGTGAGTTGGTTTTGGCTCAAATCTAAAGCGCTGATGGATTCTAAACTTTCAAACTCTTCTGGAATGGTACCAGAAAGATTATTACCATAAAGATGGAGGAGAGTAAGAGAGCTTAGACCACCTAAAGAAGGCGGTATTTGGCCTGTAAAGTTGTTTGAGTGGATGCTCAAGTTTTTTAGTGATTGCAACTTTCCAAGCTCTTTGGGAATAAAACTAGAAAGTGAATTGTTAAAGAGGTGCAACACAGTTAGCTTGCTAAGGTTTCCAAGACTAGCTGGGATTGAGCCTTCCAACTTGTTGCTATCCATGTAAACCTCAGTAAGACTAATGAGATTTCCTATTTCAATAGGAATAGTTCCAGAAAGGTGATTATCATAAAGATATAGTCGAGACAAATTTGTCAAATTGCCCAGAGAAGCAGGAATGGGACCAACCAACTGGTTGGTGTACAAGGCAAGCTCAGTAAGAGAAGTTAGATTGCCAATCTCTTCAGGAATTGAGCCATTGAGTTGGTTTTCGACCAGGTGGAGAGTCTTAATATTTTTTAACAAGCTAATTTCCCGTGGAATATTTCCAGAGAATTGATTAACTGACAAATCAAGGTAGATGAGTTTTGAGAGAGAACCAATCAGAGGTGGGATGATGCCAAAAAGCTGATTCACACTAAGTTCAAAGTATGCAAGATTAGGAAGTGATAAGAATGGAAAGTTGTCCAACGTACCAACTAGGCTTGAGCTTGTGAGATTCAATCTAACAACGCTTCCTTCACGATTGCAAGAAATTCCAAGCCAATGGCATGGGCTGGCACTTGCCTCTAGTTGGCCATTGTTTAAAGGAAGTTTCCATGACCTCATCACAACACTGTTAAAACTTTGAAGGCTATCTTTCTATTTGAGGAGAGTCTTGGCTTCTTCAGTAGAGGAAGAAGCCACGCCAATCTGTGAAATGAACAAAGGAACAAGCAGGAAAACTAAAACAACTGAGGGTAAAAATTTTGAAGATGCCATGTTTGGATACTTTGGTGGGTATCAGGTTAAGGTTCAAGTCTCTTATATATACATATAAAAAAAATTAATTTTTATCTATAAAATAGGTGAAGAATGAAGGCTTGGTTGTTATTAGAAATCAATTTGACCACTAAACCAATAGCTCTTTCTTACGAAGTTAGGTTAGTCATAAAAAGCTGAGAAGCCGATTTTAGAGTTACAATTTTGATTTATTTATTTTTTTCAATTATACTTCATGGCAAAGTAATTATAATAAGAGTAGAAAGATACTGGGAAGAAAATCTAAAGCAGGTTGTAGAAAAATGTTAAAGCCATACTTTATTTTTAGATCCAATAAATGGGGAATCTAGTTCTGAATAGATGTTTTATATTTTTAATTTAATTTGAAAGTATTTTATTTAGAACTTTTATTAAAAAAACAAAAAAATGGTAGTTGAGGCACGAGAGTAACTTAAATGCACAATTATTTCATACCATAAAATTAGTAATGACGTTGGATTCCCAAATTTCCACATAAAATTCCAAAAGTTGGGCCAATAATGGCTTAGTCATCTTGGAAAGACTTTTGCGTAGACTTCTCGAAGTCATGTTGAGAAAAAAATGGAAAAGGAAAAAATGAAAATAAAATTTCCAAGTTCCTATGGTCTTTTTCTAAGAAAATTAAATATAAATCAACCTTCACTAAAATGAACTATTGAAAGGTTGCTGTTGAAAATTATTATTTCTAAAATGGCAACATATGTTGAAAATTAATATGTTTCCACCATACTTGTCTCTTTATCTTATTTTATAAAGGAATTGCAACTTAATTTCAATATATTTAATCCTTGTTATATCTGTCACTAAAATTTGGTATCTATTCGTGCTTGATCTTGTTGGAATATGATTCTTTTTAAAAAATTATATTTATTTTCACATTTATTTGAAATTACAAATTATAAATAAATATATTAAATTATTTTTTTAAAAGCAAAGAAAATTAATATATATATATATATATATAAAATAGCAAATTAATATATGTATATTTTTTTCAAAGAAGATTAGTGTGATGCAGATAATTAATGCTTTGTTATTAATAACTTGTGAAATTAATGAACTTATTGTACATTTATTAAAATTTATGGATATAGTTTTACACATTCAATTTAAATTAAATTGATCGGCGTATGTTTTTTTTTTTTCATTTTTTTTAACCTAAATAAGAATACTGCTTTCACATCTTCTAGTTGAGAAAATATGGCACAATTGAAGTTGATGGTGGTGGCGATGAAAGACAATGGCTACGGTAGGTCAATGAAAGAGGATAGTAGTGGAACACCACAACTATGATGGTAATGTCAATGGAAGATGAAAGAGGATAGTAGTGGAACACTACTATGTTGGCAATGTCAATGGAAGATGATAGTGATAAAAGATGATAAGACATTAAAAGAAGACGATTTGGGCTTAAACATTAAAAAAGAAAAATAGTTTTTTTAAAACAACATTTTGTTACTCTAAAAAAACTTCTTACTTTTGTAATTTTATTTTAAAAAAAAAATAAATAAATAAAACAAGAGTGCCAAACGAATTTTTGAAATTTTTTGTTCACAAAAATCAAAAATATTTTTGAGAATAAAAACTAACGCATTCTATATATAATTATGTTATCACTAGTAGGCATGAACGAGGCAATTGATAACTCATTGATTCTTTGATTTTATGTGTTTCAAGTTCAATTTTGTTTGCCATTGTTGGACAAGTATATGATAAAATTATTGCTTTTGTGTTGTCCTCGTTTGATGTAATCTCTATGCTAACCAAGTGAAAAAGAATTTAACACAAGTGAGTGTAATGACTCTCCAGCATGTGTATAACTACCCCCCATACCCAATGTGAATTAAAAATTTTCACTTAATTACCTATATAAATGTCATTTTTTTAATCCTTTCGTAGGTGAATTCTATTATGGTTCTTTAAAACCTATTAGGCTTTACCTTCCATTGTACTCTAAAGAGTACAGATCACGACCACTGTCACACCCACCGCCACCATCGATGACTTCACGTTGCGTCCTTGACGGGAAGCAAGTCTTGCCACTTTGAACTTTTGGCCCTGCCCATACTCTTGGTTCTTTAAGTTTGACTGGAAATTAAGAAATTGCCATTTTGGACCTTTGGCCCTGCCTATACTCTTGTTTCTTTCTTTAAGTCCGACTGGAAATTGACACATGTTGTGCTCACTGGTTGATAGTATTTAATGATATTCCTAAAGATTTTGTTTATTTGCACGATTAGAAAATAAAATGATCAAAAATACTGAATATTAATAGTGAATAATTTAAGCAACTACAAGTGATAGTCCCGTGAAAGTGAATATTGTGGGACTAAACATATTTGATGGAATAAGATAAAAGGAGAGAGAATTAATACTCCATTCCGGGGGGATTTTTTCATTTTTAGCCCCATGGCTGTAATTTTAGAGCAAAAAAAAGTAACCAACCGGGGAAATAGAAAGCCTAGAAACCCAGATCAACAGAAGGACCTGCTAATTATCTTCTTACACGTCGTTTTTGTTATTCTAAAACAATTTAACACATGTTTTATTAGTTTGCTAACTTGGAAGTAGTAGTTTTGAGGATTATTCTGTAATAATTTTTGGAGTCTTTTGTCTGTTTAGATGAAATTGCCTTTTTAGTTTTAAACTTTTAAACTCAGTATAAAAAATAAAAATTCTAAAAATTATTTTTAAGAATGTCATTTTGCTATTGTTTTATAATTAATTTAGATTTTCTTTTTATTTATTTGTTTTTTTTTTTAATATTTAAATGAAATAATAATGTAAAAAATGAAAAATATATATATTTTTTACTTTTTACCGTTGGAGATGAATTTGTGAGTTAATCAAGCAAAAAAGCAAATAGACATTTTTTGAAAAAAGAAACAAATATAATAAAACTTTAGGATTTTTTGCTATATCAAAAAAATGAAAATTCAAAATATTTTTGAAAATTTTTTTTAGAGGGTGCAACATGGCATTCATGGGATACATCTAATTTTGACACAATATATAAAATTCTCTTAATATCAAAAATTGATCTAGTGAATCAGTTGTTTTAACAATTATTAGATTAATATGAGATATTAATTCTAATACTAATTTAATAAATATTATAGTTCCTAACTCAGTAAATTAGTATCCAAAATTCTGAATTTGTGTTACACGGTTACAGTGCAATTCCATTAAAATCATTAATTAGTGGATTGGTTGGAGTATGTCGCTTGTCGAAATTCTTAAATAAGAAAATATAGAAGGGGAATATAAATGAGCCAGGCTTGATTGATACGTGGATAATCGGATTAAATTGGATTTCCTCGTATGTATAATTTAATAAGATACTCTGGTCACAGATTCATATAAAAAAAAAAAATATATATATATATATATATATATATATCCGAAGCTTGCCTTAAGGAAATAAAATTGATTGGTTGCTTACTTGTCCCAAAAAATAAAAAATAAAAAAAACGTAGAAACCATGGGCCATCGTTTTTTTGAAACAAAAAGCATGGCCCGTAAACTTATAATGGCACTACTTGAAGCACAAAATATTTTGTATGAAAAGAAAGGATTAGTTACATAATAATCCAGTTAAAATTTATGAGGTAAGCATTCAATTAGTAAAGCCTTTATTTTAATTTCAAGGAGAAGGCGGAATGCGTGATTTGCTTCAGTTTCTATCTAGCCATTGGCAAAACCGGTTTGAAATTTGAGATGATGAAGCAGAGTACTTGATTAAATTACCTAATTAAATAATAGATAATATACACTTTCCTTCCCAAAAATATTATAATGGTAACATTTATTTCTTTAAAGTATAAAATATAATTTATTTCTACAAATTTATTGTCACAATTAAAATCAAATAACAAAGTTAATATACTTATTTGTATTATCATAATACCACCTAAATCTATTCATATATATATTTTTTAATTTAACCAAAGTTATGTGTAAAATAACAGTTTTTATTATAACAAAAATTTATAATTGGTTTAAAAATATATTTCTGGATCAATTTACTAAATAATAACCTTCATTATAACAAAAAAATAATAAAATAAATTTAACCAATTAGCCTATACTAATTTACCATTTATAATTTAGCAAATGTTATTTGTAGAATAGTAATCTCTATTGTAATTAAAAATTATAATTAATTAAAGAATTTATCTATAAACCAATTTACAAAATAACAACCTTTATTATAAGTAAAAAAAAAAAGAATAACAATCTTTATTTTAATAAAAAAAAGAGTAACAGTTTTCATGAAATTAACATCTTGTATTATCAGCCATAATATTATAATTTAACAAATATCTATAAAATAATAACATTCATTGTAACAAAAAATTATAATTAATTGTAAAATTCATCTCTCAACTAATTAAAAAAAAACAATTTTAATAATAATAATAATAGTTAAAAAAAAGAATGACGGCCACTATAAAATTAATATTATATTACAAAAGTCTTTCTCTATATTTCTTGAAATTATTAGATAACTATAAGAGTTATTATGATAATATAAGCGAGTATAGTAATTTAATTAATTAATTTTAATTATAATCCTATTCC